TAGTTAAGTGAAGCAATAATTCCAGAAAGACATAACTTGGGAAAGAAATTAATAATAGAAAACTAACATCTCTTCTGGTTAGAAGTCTTCAATTCTTGGACATCAACTGCTTCAATGAAAATTAAGCAGTCTAGCTGACCACAGATGATAAGAAGTGAAAAATTATGAGGAACTTAGGTTTTAATAGATTTTTTTTTTTTTTTCAATTGTTGAGCTGTTTTTTCTTTTCAATTTTTTTTTATTTCCTTTTTCTCTTATATAGTTTTTATAAGAGAGAGTGATACAATTTGGATTTATGGTCATAACTATAGAGATAATCTGCAGATTATGATTCTATTGAATTATTGAAATCTTAATCCTTTCTAACAAGAGAACAATATTTCACTTTATAAATCATATCTAGAGGCTTCAACTGTTGACAAGTAGATATTACAATTTTTATCTGAATCTGAATGATCTGTGAATTGAATATGAATCAAATCAAATCAAATTTTTAAATTTTTAATCCAATTGAATTCAAATCCAATTGAATTTTAAATTTTTAAATCAGGTTAGATATGAATCAAGTCTATATAAATTATTAATAGCTATTTAGTTTTATTTAAATAGAACTAACTAGGAAATTAAAATAAAAAAACTTGCTTTTTTTAATTAATGTATAAAAGATTATGTTAAAAAAATTTAATATATGTTCACTCTACTTTTTCAATAATTTTTTAACAATTTTAAAAAAAATTTTTTTAATATTAGTTTTATTTACTGTTTATCAAATCTTTACAGAAAACAAATAATGTATACTATATCGTATTGCATAAATTATTTTACTGCCTTGAATACCTGTCTTTAACTAATGAAGTTCAATCTTAAAGATTATTGTCTACAGTTCATTACTACAGTTCATCTAAACAAAAACAAAACTACTTTTATATTTCCAGCTATTTTTTCTCTTCTTTAATCTAATCCCAATTGAGATTTTGTCTTGAGTCTGAGAACTAGAGTTTTCTGTCTAAAGATAGGTTCCTAAATTAAAGACGAGAACATAATTCAAATATTTCTCATTATTAAAAAAGGTTTTTTTAAATATAAGATAAAAAAAAACTATCTATAAAGATTTTTTGCAATTTAGGCCACTTGATTCAAGTGTTTTTTGAATTATGTCCTTATTAAAGTAATTAATAAATAATTATGTTACTTTAAGAGACACAATTGATCTGCAAAATTTTATATGCTAAATAATTTAGTAATCCATCCTTACTTCTGTCTTATAATGTCTTGTAGCTTGTTTCTTTTGTTCTTGCTTTCTTTTTTCTCTTCTTCTGCCAGTGTTATTCTCTTTATATTTATATATTTTGGGCTTTCTCCTGAAGTCCTGTAGCTTGACACATCTATCATTCCATATCTTTTTCCAAACTTGATTGCAGATATTTCTTGAAAGTTTCTTTAGTAGTTGTTTCACTTTGCCAGTTTTCATCTTAGCATTGATTATCATTCAAGTCTATTCTGTAATGTTTTTCTTCAAAAAGAGTCCTAAGCATATGTTTATGATATTTATTCCTGTAGAGAATTTGTTCCTATATCATCTTTGCAAAAGGTCTTATATAATAGCTTGCTTGTCTTGTACTTTTTCTACTTGAATGCTTTCTAACCATTTGTTAAGTATTTGGTTCTGATTTTGATTCCATATTTCTTTATGAATTTCTGAAATGCTGTTGCAGGAAAGAAGGTATTTGAGAGATTTCTCTTCTTATTAACAATATAAACACATGATTAGGTTTCCTTACTTTGTAGGGAATTTTTTGGTTATTATTGTTCAGGATTAATAGTTCATTATGCATTAGTTTTACACAGAATACCTTTTTTTTTTGAAAAGAACAAATGGCTATCATGCTTTATTATATTTATTATACTTTTACTTGCAAAGCAAGGTACAATACTCAATAGCATGACATACATTTCTCTTTGCTAGGAAGAGTTTAACACAAGGCTCCTGTACAGGGCCAGACCCTGTGCTCTTTTATCACCATTCAAGGAATACAGACAAAAAGAAATTCTAAAATCTATACTTTGTTTATGAATGGTGTCTAGCTATCTAGAAGTAAATGAATACCTAATCACATGAAGGCACTGCAGCCAATCTATACAGGTTGGCCTCCAAGTCATGATTAGAATTGGCACACCTGCTTTCCAAATATGGCTTAATGTATGGCAAGCAGAGTAACTATTTGCTTTTTAAAAAATATATATATATATATATATTATCAATATAAAAATTTTAAGTTTTCAAGATATTTCAGAAATTTTTATTTTAAATTACTTATAATAAAATTAATTTATTTTATTTTTTATTCAGTACTTAAAAAAGTAAATTAATTTAATTTTATATAAAATACTTTAAACTAATCAAATATTTTTAAATATAATATAAAATACTTTAAATTAATTAAATATTTTTAAAATATATATATATAATATATATTTTGAAAATAAAAGTTTTTGAAGTTTGTTTAAAAAAATTTTATATTTAAAAATATGTTTTAAATATTATAAATATTAATATTAAATTTAAAAAAATTCTTTTCTATATATAATATTTTTTTTGTCTTTTAATATTCAAAAGCTTCATATATATTTTTTTATATTTACTATAAGAATCTCAAAAAAATTAAAGAAATATTAAAATTATTATTTATTTTTAAAATATATTATAATATTAATATAATATGATACTACTATTCTTACTATCTATAATATTGACATCTCTATTTGAATTCCAATTTAATAAAAATTTTAAATTTTAAATAATAATATTTTTTTTCCAATAGGTAAACATTATTTTTTTATTTGATTTGTATATTTAAAAGTATATATCGTGAAAGAAACAGTATCTTTTACATATAATAGTAGCAAGTTTAATACTAGTTTGTCTATACTATCTATACCTAGCTAATATTGAAAAAGAAATTTTAAAACAATATTGTATGTTAAATATAGCTGAAGTAATAGTTATACTTACTTACTCAGAAAATTTTGATAGAATATAATAAATAGAAAGTAAAACAAAAATAAAATAAAAAAGAAAATATGCTAGATAAGTATAAATGTAATAAAAACTAATTATAAAATAAAGGAAACCTATTGAACATACTACTTTAGTAGTTCTACTTTTATAAAATATATATTGATATACTTTCTGAATGGTCAGGATACTTTTCAAAATATATAATAATATTAATAATATAAATTCTTAATAGCTGGTAATATATGATGATAGTAATTGATTGGTGATAATATTAATAGTAATTTTATTATTATTTGTATAATAATTGATTAAATAAAATGTAAGTTGATTAATGTGAGTCACTTTTAGGCTACTGTTAATATGAGCTACTTTCAAACAGCTATTTAAAAAAAGCAAAAAGGTTGAAAAGGTTTTTTGATAATCATTTAAACTTGTTAATTGTTGTTTTGTGATAATAATATATTATTGTTAATTTTTAATTGGTATTTAATAGGATATGATTGTTGTTTTAATATTTATTAATAGTAAAAAGTCATGTGGTTATATGGATTTCCATTTTTGAAATTGTTTATATTAATCTTTGATAAATATAATAAACATGTTTTGATATTTTGTAAGATATGATTGTCAGAATTAAAGTATTAATCAGTTATCAAGGATAAGCTAATTATGGTTTTTTGGTAAAAAGTTTTTTGGAAAAAATTTTTGAATTTTTTGTAATACAGTATAGTATATTGGATAATATTGAAAGTTATATTTTATATATATTGTTAGTTCCCTAAATCAACAATATATACAGTTTTGATATAAAGTTTTAAGTTTTGTATTAAAAGAAAATTCTTTGGCAGAAGAAAAAAAATATTTAAAAATATTTATATATTGATAAGAAATATTTTAATAAGAAGTAAAAATATGAAAAATTCCAAGGAAAATTTATAAAGAAATAACTGCCACAAGTTTTTTCTTATATAATTCAAGAAAAAATTAAAGCCTCCAAACTTGCTTCTTTCTGACCAGAGGTCCTATTTTAATGTACCAGTATATTTTTTTAGTTTTTTTGAGATTCTTATAATAAAACTAGAAAGATATAAAAAACTTGTAAGTATTGGAAAGCAAAAAGAATATTTTTTTCTTTAATTTTTAAAAGGATACTATAAAAAAATTTTTTTAAAAAAAATATTATGTACAGAAAAGAGTTTTTTTAAAAAAAGTTTTTAATTTTAAATAATAATATATTAAGAAACCATATAAACTTTATTATAAAAAAAAATAAAAATTTTTTAAAATATTGTTTTAAAAAGATTAATATAATAATAAATAATAAAAATATTTTAATATTAAAATTAAGTTTTAAAAAAAAAAACTATTATTTTATTATTTGTTATAATTAATAATAATATAAAATTTATATTTTAGAAATACAAATAACAAATATGATATTTCTATTATTTCTATAAATAATATTTATTATACTTTATATAGCATATAATTTTGATAAATAAAGTTTGATTAATTAAAATGATAACCAATAATGCCGTCATCACTAATTAGCGTTAGTGTGCGACTTTTTAAAGTCCGGAAAAGGCTATGACATTCATATGATATAGAGTGTAGCGTGTTATACACAAATTTATGCGTCTCTCTATGACCTCAACTTTACACCAAAACTTTGGAAAAAAGAAAATGAAAAAGAAAAAGCCAATACAAAATTCAAATTCCGTCGAGATTTCAGATAGTGTAGAGAACAATGTAGTTCCGAAACTTGAGGTTTGTTGCAATAAAGATAATCTAAAGTTGATAATTACTCGGAGTTACTATGAATATGTTATTCCCGCAAAGTGCAATGCTAAAATTTAGGAAACAAAAAGCGAAACTGAATAATGGCAATTTTATTCACAATAAATACATCCTTTTCTTTTTTTATTAATAGGAAAAGAACGAATTATTAGTAGATCAGTCCTTTGAGAAAAAATGGAAAAATATGACGATTCGAGCAATCTGGACGCTTGTTATGATCGGTGGATTTTTCGTGATTTTAGCCGCAGGACATTTTTTTGTCATCCTTCTTGTGGTGGTAATTCAAACATTGGTATATAGAGAAGTTATTGCACTAGCGCATGTTCCGAGCAAAGAAAAGAAACTACCCTGGTTCAAAACACTCAATTGGTGATATAATATTATTTGATTCTTTTTTTTGAATTACGTAAAATTCAGACAACTCATCAAAATTCCTCGAATTACTCCAGGTATTTCCTTGTAAGCACAAACTATTTTCTTTATGGAGAATCGATAATTTATTACTTCAAAGAAATAGTTTTTGTGGATGCCTTTCTTCTGCATTTTGCCACCCATCATCGATTTATCTCATTTACCCTATACTGCATAGGTAAGAGAAATTGATATCAATACATAGAATTTCTATTTGATAATCATGCTAATTTCATTCATGTTACTTTAGGATTTGTATTCTTTGTTGCAAATCTCAAAAAAGGACATTACAAGTTCCAATTCACGCAATTTGCTTGGACACACATGACTTTATTGATCGTTGTCTGTCAAAGTCATTTTATCACAAACAATATATTTGAAGGCTTGATCTGGTATGCCAAATAAGTTGGAACTTTCTGTCATCTCAACAACGATTAATAAATGTGTTTGCGCGCGTCGATATTGACTTTAGGTTTGTTCTTCCGGTATCCTTGGTGATTTGCAACGATATCTTCGCCTACATATGTGGATTCTTCTGGGGAAAAACACCATTGATAAAATTAAGTCCTAAAAAAACTTGGGAGGGGTTTGTTGGAGCGTGGATCTGTACAATTATTTTTGGCTTTTTTGTTAGTATAGAACTTCGATCATTTTGTGTAGCATAAATTTAGTATTGTTTACTGATTTGGAAAACCTCATTTTATATTTTTTTTTATAGTGGGCTTCATTATTAATGCGTTGGGATTATATGGTTTGCCCGGTTGTTAAAGTAAGAACGATTGTTTGATTTGTTTCATCAGTAAAACAAGTTAATGAATTACTTTTCTGTAGGATTTCGGTGCAAGTGCACTTTCAGGCATGACATGTGAACGGAATCCGGTGTTTGTTTCTCAAAAATATGTACTTAGTCCTTGGATGGTTGGCTTTCTAAAACGATTGGTATGTGTTTGATACATGATGTCTTATCGAAATAAAGGCTATCTGTTATAAGTAAAATATGTTATGTGATAGACCTTCTTTGCCGATATTCGTGCGGTATGGATTGCACCACTTCAATGGCATGTTTTGGTGATGGCATGTTTTGCCTCGTTAATTGCTCCGTTCGGAGGATTCTTTGCGAGCGGAGTAAAAAGGGCGTTCAAAATAAAGGTATTTCAAGTTGATAGATAATAAGTAACCAGACGTGATGCCTCACGAAAGTCGAATGTACTTTTCAGGATTTCGGGCATTCCATTCCCGGACATGGCGGTATTACTGATCGTATGGATTGTCAATTCCTTATGGGGTTATTTTCCTACATGTATTATCAGAGTTTTATCAAGGTTTGTATTTTTTTACAGATTAGCTGTAAACCCTCTAGAAAATAGAAGTAATGATCTTTTATTATATTTTAGTATACTTCTTTATCGGTCGGTACAGTCCTTCAGACTATTGTCAGTTCTCTGAAACCGCAAGAACAAATTGAACTGTTGGATAGTCTGCAACAATACTTGATTGGACAAGGATTGCTGGAAGA